CCTGACCAACATGGACAAACCCTGTCTCTACTAAAAGTACAAAATTAGCCAGACATGGTGGCACATGCCTGTAATCCCAGCTACTCAAGAGGCTGATGCAGAAAAATCACTTGAAACCAGGAGGCGGAGGTTGCAGTGAGCCGAGATCTCGCCATTGCACTCCAGACTGGGCAACAAGAGCGAAACTCTGTCTCAAAAAAAATTTTTTTTTTTAATGAAAAAATTCTTTGGAGAGAGGCGGTCTTGCCCTATTGACCAGGCTGGAGCACAGTGACACAGTCACAGCTCACTGCAGCCTCAAACTCCAGGGCTCAAGCAATTCTCCCTCCTCAGCCTCCTTAGCAGCTGGGACTGTAAGTGCATACCACCATGCTGATTAACTAAAAGAAAAAAAAAAATTTAGAGAGATGCAGTCTGGCTATGTTGCCCAGGCTATTCTCACACTCCAGAACTCAGGATCTTCCCACCTTAGCCTCCCAAAATGCTAGGATGTGAGCCACCATCCCCAGCCCCAATAAACCAATACTGATACATTATTATTAACTAAGGTTCATCTTGATTCAGATTTCTTTACTATTTCCCCTAATGTCCTTTTCCTATCCCAAGATCTCATCCAGGAGATCATACTATGTTTAGTTCTTGTCTCCTCAGGATTGCTGCAGTGCAGTGACTCCATTTTGGCTCACTGCAACCTCCGACCACTGAGTTCAACCTATTCTCCTGCCTCAGCCTCCCGAGTTGCTGGGATTACAGGCACCGGCCACCATGTCCAGCTAATTTTTTTTTTTTTTTTGAGAGGCAGTCTCTCTCTGTCACCCAGGCTGGAGTGCAGTGGGCGATCTTGGCGCACTGCAACCTCCACCTCCTGAGTTCAAACGATTCTCCTGCCTCAGCCTCCCAAGTAGCTGGGATTACAGGTGTGTGTGCCGCCACTGGTTTTTTTTTTTCGAGACGAGTTTGAGATGGGGTTTCACCACATTGGCCAGGGCCTGGTCTAGAACTCCTGGCCTCAGGTCATCCCCCCACCTCAGCCTCCCAAAGTGCTGGGATTACCGGTGTGAATCACCCACCCAGTATGGCTAGCTTTTTTTTTCTTTCTTTCTTTTTAATGTGGTAGCTCGGGTCTTGCTCTGTTGCCCAAGCCTCCGAAAGTGCTAGGATTATAGGCGTGAGTCATCGCTCCTGGGCTAGGAGGTCACCGTGATACCCTGTTTAAGGGGATGGGGCCTGGACAGGGCAGAGGCTGTGGTGGGAGCCCCCTCTTCCCTTCCCATCTATGACTCTCACTGCCCTTGCCCAGTTTTCTCCACTTCCAGTTTTTTTAAAATTTTTTATTTTTAGTTTCTTAGAGACTGGGTCTCACTCTTGTCCAGGCTGGAATGCAGTGGTGTGATCACAGCTCACTGCAGCCTCTGTTCCTAGGCACAAGTCATCCTCTCACCTCAGCCTTACAAGCAGCTGAGACTATATGCATGGGCCACCACGCTGGACTATTTTACTATTCTGTAGAGACGGGGTCTCCCTGTGTTGCCCAGGCTGGTCTCAAACTCCTGGCCTCAAGCATCCTCCCATCTTGTCCTTCCAAAGTGCTGGGATTACAGGAGACCCCGCTCTGCCTCTCCAGTCCCTGACCATCCCCACAAGCCAGCCCCAGAAAGCCCAGCAATGAGGGAGCCAGGCTGGGGCAGGAAACACGCAGCAGCTTCCTCCCACTCCCATTTTAATTGGGGGCAGGTGCGGGAGGACCTAGGCCTGCTGTGCCTGCAGTAGCGCCCGCACCTGGCGGATCTGCCAATCGATGCTGGAGCATGCAGTGCCATCCAGGGCACCATACTGCTCCATGCTGTGCCTATAGTTCCACATGCTGCTCATGTTGCCTAAGAACAGGAGGCTGAAGAGAGGAAGAGGTGGGCCAGGGAGCCGGGCCACCCCGGGCTCCAGGCAACCAGGCTCGCCTCCTAGGAGGCAGCATGGAGAAGGGGGTGGGCCGCCCAATGCTCTGCAGCTCCTGCAGTGACAGCTGGTTGAGGGCAACCCCCTTGGTCTCAGCCATTAACGTGGCTTTCCCCGGAGGCCTCGTGGGCCTGGTGGAATGACATCTGAGTGCCAGGCAGGAAGGTGGCAATGAGGCAGCTTCGTCCATTCCCTTATCTGCCTACACTGCCTGCATGTCCCCTACTTTTTTTTGATACAAAGTCTCACTTTGTTGCCCAGGCTGGAGGGCAATGGCGTGAACTCACCTCACTGCAACCTCCACCTCCCTGTGGGAGAGGAGGAGCAGGGGCTCAGGTGGAGGCTCGGGTAAGCCTGTCTATGACACTGCTGCAGGCCTGGGTCACCCCTGGAAAAAGTGTCGTCCTGCAGCACTCCACCTGAATGAGGGATCCAGTGATCTTCCAGGAGAAATCAGTCTTAAGGGAAAAAGAGGCCGGATGTGGCGTCATGTGAACCAAGGACTGGGTCTGAGCTGTGGGGCCTCGGGGGTGAGGCTTTGCCAGGAACACCCGAAGCCTGAGCCTCTGTCACTCAGCATCTCCGAGCGGGGGCCAGAACAGGGGAGGAGGCCCGTGTTGGGTATGACTTGGTCATGGGAGGTTTCGTCTGAGGACCCCAGAAATAGCTGGGGCTCATTCAAGGGCTGCTCCAAGCAGCTGAGACGCCCTGCTCCTCATTCAAGTAGGTAGGGCAGAGGCAGAGGTGCTGTGAGTGATGGTCCTGTTCTCTTATTGTTTTGTTTTTGTTTTTAGAGACAGGGTCTCATTCTCTTGCCCAGGCTGGAGTGCAGTGGCATGATCATAGCTCACTGCCGCCTCGATCTCCTGGGCTCAAGCAATCCTCCTGCCTAAGCCTCCTGAGTAGCTGGGACCACAGGGACATGCCACCATGTCCAGCTTTTAATTTTTTGTAAAAATGCGGTCTTGCTATATTGCCCAGGGTGGCCTGAAACTCCTAGGTTCAAGCAATTCTCCTGCCTTGGCCTCGCAAAGGGCTGGGATTACAAATGTGAGCCACCACACCTGGCCTCTTTTTTGTTGTTGTTGTTGTCGTCGTTTTGAGACGGCGTTTCACTCGTTGCCCGGGCTGGAGTAAAATTGCAGTCTTGACTCACTGCAACTTCCGTCTCCCAGGTTCAAGATTCTCCTGCCTCAGCCTCCCAAGTAGCTGGGATTACAGGCATCCCCCACCACACCCAGATAATTTTTGTATTTTTAGTAGAGACAGGGTTTCACTATCTGTTGATCAGGCTGGTCTCAGACTCCTGGGCTCAGGTGATCCACCAACCTCGGCCTCCCAAAGGGCTGGGATTATAGGCATGAGCCACCGCACTCGGCCTAGACTGTTGTTGAAGCCTGTTTTCCTCTTCTCTTTCCTCACTTCATTTCTTTTGTTTTACACCCTCCCCCAGTTGTTGCTCTGCCCATCCAAAGGCTGTGGCTGGCACTGTACAGAAAAGAACCCCCTAGCCTCATGTTCCAAATCCATGCTCTCCAACAGCCAGGCTCTGAGATGGGAAGCTTCAAAGTCTTGTGACAGCCTGACTGAACCTCTCCAGCCTGGGCGCTCCCTCCAATTCCTGCCCCGGAAAACAGGCATCTCCTCTGACCACCTCCCAAAGAAGCCTGTCTGGAAGGCTCAGGCACCCACACCTGGAAGGCTGTACTCTTCACCTTCCCAACAAAGGGCCTGTCCGCCCAGTCCTGCTGAGCACACTCCTGTGCCCCCGTGTCCTGAATTGTCCTTTGCCCAGGCTGGGATACCATCTCAGTGCCTTCCGCCTGCTGCAGACTTGGCTCAGCCCAAAGCACTGCATGAAATTGGGGTGTGGCATCTGCCTCAAGGAGCATTTCTACAACCTCTGTTGCCTCTACCACAAATGAAAACTCCACCTCTGAACGCTGAGTTAGAATGGCATGATTGTAAAGAAGAAAAGGGGGGTGGGCATGGTGGCTTGCACCTGTAATCCCAGCACTTTGGGAGGCTAAGGCAGGCAGATCACTGAAGGCCAGGAGTTCGAGGCCAGCCTGGCCAACATGGTGAAACCCCGTCTCTACTAAAAATACAAAAATTAGCCGGGCACAGTTGGTCACCCTATATTCCCAACACTCTGGGAGGCCAAGGCAGGCACCTGAGGTCAGTACACTAAGACCAGCCTGGCCAACATGGTGAAACCCTGTCTCTACTAAAAAATCCAAGTTGGCCGGGCACAGGAGCTCACGCCTGTAATCCCAGCACTTTGGAAGATCGAGGCGGGCGGATCACAAGGTCAAGAGACAGAAACCATCCTGGTCAACATGGTGAAACTCCATCTCTACTGGAAACACAAAAATTAGCCAGGTGTGGTGGCACGCGCCTGTAGTCCCAGCTACTTGGGAGGCTGAGGCAGGAGAATCACTTGAACTTGGGAGGTTAAGGTTGCAGTGAGCTGAGATCATGCCACTGCACTCCAGCCTGGGCAACAGAGCAAGACTTTGTCCAAAAAAAAAAAAAAAGCAAAAGTTAGCTGGGCATGGGTGGCACACATCTATAATCCCAGGTGTTTGGGACACTGAGGCAGAAAGGTCACCTGAGCCTGGGAAGTCGAGGCTGCAGTGAACCGAGATCGTGCCACTGTACTCCAGCCTGGGCAACCGGAGTGAGACCCTGTTTCAAAAACAAAACAAGCCGAGTGCATGCACTCATGCATGCCTGTAATCCCAGCTACTCAGGAGGCTGAGGTAGAAGAATTACTTGAACCCAGGAGGCTGAGGTTGTAGTGAGTCAAGATCTCACCACTGTCCTCCAGCCTAGGCAACACAGCAGAACTCCATCTCAAAAACACAGAAAAAGAAAACCACAATTTGGGGAGGTAGATATCTGGTTCCCTGAACTGTCTGGGTATGGACGGCCCTCCCATTGGGCTGGGACGGGACGCTGATCTTGGATAGCACATGCCCACCCCAGTCTGCCACCTGCCAGGATCTCCTTCTCGATCCAGCCCAGGGTAGGCAGGGGACACTCACTTGATGTAGTAGCCGGCAGATTCCAGGTAGGAGGCAGGCTCCTGGCCAGACCACATCACCACGGCAGGGTGATTCTTGTCTCTGTGCACCAGTTCTTCCATCACCCACATGTAGTGATGCATAGACACGTTGCTGAAGAGCTGCCAGGGGGCCAGGAGGGAAGGGACGGAGGGTCACAGTGTGGCCCGCAGGCTGGCCAGGCAGAGCAGCTGTGTGGTGGGGACTCATAGCAGCACCAGGCCCACAGTGGGACACTCATCAATGACCACAATCCCATAACGGTCACACATCTGCAGCATCTCCTCTGTGCAGGGATAGTGGCTGGTGCGGAAGGCGTTGGCACCAAGCCAGTGAAGCAGGTTGAAGTCCTTCACCAGCAGCAGACAGTCGAAGTCCCTCTCTCAGATTTAGGGGACAGCAGAGTCAAGTGACCCATCCCTGTCAAAGCTGCACTTCCTCCAAGAGCCAGGACCCCTCCAAGAGCCAGGACCCTGGAAAGCCACCCGATGAGCCCCCTCTCCAGCCCAACCACCAGCTCCACAGCAGGGTGGTTTGGAGCCATTTGCCTCATTACCCTTAGCTGCCACAGGGAAGCTCATTTGCCTCATTGCCCTGAACTGCAGGACACAGGGAAGGCGAAAGTGGAAGGTGACCAGAGGCAGCCCCCACGAGGACCCAGGAGCCCCAGTGGACATCTGCATCCTCATGCTTGCTGACACTGTGGAAATAGCAAGGTTTCCCATTGATGAGGAACTGGCTCTCGGTGATAGCCACAGTGCGAATCGCCACAGGGAGTGTGTAGAAGTCAGAAAAAGGCCCCAGTGACGTCTGTGCGGTCAGCCACACCTACGACAGCCAAAGCGCCAGGTGTGAGCACCCTGACAGCCTGAGCCCCATCTGGCCTGGCCTGCCCTGCAGCAGGAAGACCCCCAGTGCACCCCAGCAGCCGCCTCGGGGCCTGCAAGCAGAGAAGCAGCAATCAGAGGCTCTGCCCTTTCCTGGCTGACCCTGGGACCTGCCCTTCAAAATTGGGCCTTCTCCTTGACCAGACGAGGTGGCTCATGCCTAGAATCCCCACGCTTTGGGAGGCTAAGGCAAGAAGATCACTTGAGTCCGGTTCAAGACTAGCCTGGGCAACAGGGTGAGACCCCCAACTCTACAAAAAACATTTTGTTTTGAGACAGTCTCACTCTGTCACCCAGGATGAAGTGCAGTGGCATGATCTCAACTCACCGCAGCCTCTGCCTCCCAGGTGCAAGTAATTCTCCTGCCTCAGCCTCCCAAGTAGCTGGGATTACAGATGCCCAGCAAATTTTCATATTTTAGTAGAGGCAGAGGTTGAAGTGAGCCAAGATCATGCCACTGTACCACTCCATCCTGGGTGACAGCACAAAACTCTGTCTCAAAATACAAAAC